CCCCCAAAACCCCAAAACCCCAAAACCCCGGGTGAGAGTTTAGGAATTGAATAGGGCAAGAATTGTTTATTGGCGTGATGGAGGTGGCTTAGTGGGCGTCTTGGAAGGGGGGGGTGAGTTAAGTAGCACAAAGAGATATGTTCACTGGTGGTTTAGAGGGAGAAAGATTGATTTCGTACAAATTGCCGGATTTGGAGGAGTAGAAAGTAGCTTCTTTTAGGCTTTTTCTTAGATCTGAATTCCAAATAGCTAGCCCAACAGATTTTAATTTCCAACTTGGGTCTGTTACTATTTGTGGTTCAATAAATCATTTATGAAATTTGAGCTCTTCGAGAGTAGCTCCAGAGGAACAATTAATAATATCTGGAGAGAACCGTAGCATGAGAGAGCACTGATTAAAGTGAAGTATTTTCTTGTGCTTGCAAGATGCCAATATCCTCCTCATCTTAGACTCCTTGATGCTAAAATTATCAAAGGTTACTTTCTTCGTTACTCTATCGCAGGTTTTTATAATCTCAATCAAGTAGTGATTAATGCTAATTAACTCCAGGCTCCAAAAATTGACATGACAGATCCTTGAAGGGAATAAATCTCTAAGATAGCTCTTTACAATCCTCTCTCTCCTCATCGAAAGTAGGACCAAGCTAAACTTCAATTCCGGAAGGTCGACCTTCTTCATCTTCTTCAAAATGTCTACTTTACTTTCATCTCCAAAATGAAGGTCTAAAGTCTTATCCTCCTTCAGCCACCTTGCTTTATAATTATGGAAGGTTCTGCAAGCTTCAATCCACAGCCTTGTGCAGAGTAGCTCCCATTCCTTCTGGTCCATGGAATACCTAACTCCTCTGTCAGCTGCTACAGGTCTGGAGTCTCAGTGTCAGAGTGTGCACTCTGAGTGGGCAGGGTTAGGGGATTGCACTGAAGGGATCATTTTTAGGAAAAATATTTATTCTATATTGGTTGTCATGGGTTTTGGGGTTTTGGGGTTTTGGGGTTTTGGGG